TTGGCAACTGGACTTGCCAGTTGTAGAACGATTGCAGAAAATAAAGGAAGCATAGAATTCAAAAACTTTAAGAGCACTTTTTTGTAGTAAACTTCATGAGCTATCGACTAGCAAAAAAAAAGATTTTCTTTACTGCGCTAGTTCCGAGATATATAACTTATAAAATAGATGATTTTCAAAAAAGTAAAAAAATGGAATTTTTTTGGTAAAATTCTTTTTCTACCTCTACGTAATATATATCTCGGCGACGTTTTCTATGATTCACATCAAAGAAAGTGTTCACTAGTAGATTATATAAGTTTCAAAAATTTGAAAAGAGTTAGGTAGGCAAGATGTGGTAAAACATCGAATGGTCACTGGAGGACTTCCAGAAAATCAACCATTAGCTTTTGGCCTTCTACAACCCGAAAATAAAGTTTTGTTTAAACTGTGTAAGTTTATAGAGTGAACAATTCTCTACAAAATAAGACATCCCCGAGCTCTCTAGGACGCTTTTTGGCCGAACTCTGTCGATATTACGGAAAGTTCACGAAATTTTTTCCAAATCGACTCCCCTACTCCCCCTCAACAAACTACCCTAAAACTCAGGTGTGCATTTGATCGATCTGACCATACTTTTAGCATATTGGAGACACCAATACTCTATTCCAATGGCTGTTTCATCAGTAGCTCTTCTGGAACCGCTATGGGGGGTAAAGGGTTAAAGATCTGTTTCAAATAAAGTTTAATATTATAGAATGAGATTATCTAATAAGTTCATCAAAAGATAGAATTTCTAAAACAATTATATTTATCTCTAAACAGAAATCAAAATAAAGAACTTACAAAATCTCCTACGTTTAATTCAACTTCTGAACATATGTTTATACAACGAGAACGAGGTATGTATGATACGTATCAACTTATTGTCAAAAAAACAAAACAACAATCAAATAATTCTTTCTTCATTAGAAATATCTGATAATACATCAGTGACATTAAATCGATATCAAACATTTCAAGATCAATCATTAAAACAAGAACGAAGTATAAATTAGTTAATCTATTAATTTCTATATATATATATTATTTTTTCATAAAGAACTGGCGATACAACGGTCACTTCTTTCAAATTTTGCATACATAAAATCATCAATACCACATAACAATATATCTGGTACTCTTTCAAAAAGTAAAATTCCATTAAAACAACAATATCAAGTGTCGAAAAATGCTATTCATGATAAACGTTCAAAATCTCGTTAAATATTAATATTAGATTCAATACAAAACATATATTTAAACATTTTGAAAAAAATATAACAATCTCGAAACAATATTTTATTTATATAATTATTCTTTTTCTGGTAGGAATAATATCTAACGAGTACACTAGTTAAGAGCAGTTGCATCGAAAAAAAAAAGAACGGAAGCCGCTTTTCTCTCTTTAAGTTGTATGTAGATAAGATCAAAATAATTGACAGTTCATTTGTGGACGTGATGTCGATTAATAATAAATAGAAGAGTCATGAGGGAACATTCCAAGTTTTTGAGTCTAACGTATGCACATCTTGCAAGCCTTAATGATCTATGAATACTCTGGAAATGTTCGTATTACGAGCTTATTACTGTCGAGATATTGTATATTTAAGAAAAAAAACAAGCAATGGTATAGTTTATTGTAAAAAATTCAGATTTTATGATTGCTTCTCGTCTGAAATAAGAACATTAGAATTTGCAAATATATATCAACGATTTTACTATAATTGTATCTTAGAATAAGAATAATGAAAAGATTTGAAACTCTCACTCACACTGGTCTCTGTGTAAACTTTTAAAATATTCATAGATCATTAAGGTCTACATAATGCACATATATACAAATCAAAAGGAATGTGACAGTTGGGAATATTCCTTCATCAGTCAAAAATCTGCATCATTTATATTTCATACAACATTACTGATGACAACAATCATAAATGAACGAAACTTTTTCGATATCTAATAAATTATTTCTTAGTTGGTTCTGTTTCTATAGATTGCAGACTATATCTACACAATTCAAAGTCAGAAAATCATTATGATTGTACGTTCCACTATCTCTGCATAATTAAAATGTCAAATACGATATAGTTGCTTTTACTAATTACAGAAATATTATTGTATTCTATCTATCTTATGACATGTTTCTTCACTATTATTTTCATAGTTCCGTAATTAAATGTCATGACGATATGTTATTAGTTTACGAGCTATGATGTTTCAATAATTGTGTCTGTCACCCAAGATTTCTATTCATATATTTTAACATTTCGTTTAGATCATAATTCAGAGAAATAAAATTCAATTAAAGAATATAGCCGATAAGATTCTATATTTTGACAGAATATTCCATATGATATAAAACAGATAAAAACTAAGTGATAATTCACGAGCGGTAGTGTAAATAAACGTGTAATTTGATATCGTCTAATGTGCTGCGCGTTCCATGTTGTTAATAACATAACCATTTATGATCAAAAATATTATTATGACATTTGATATTCTTATTTGACCTTGATTGTAAAACAAATAAACATAATGGTTATTGAAAAATTCCAATGTTATTTTTCATGCTGACATTAACATTGTTGATTCCTTTTTCTTTTTTTCTTTGTAAACTCTATAAAAAATTATACATGAAAACTAAAACTAGAGAAAAAAGATCATATTCGAATTTTACAATATAAATCAATCTATTGTATTTCACCTTTGAATCCTTCGAGGATTCTATATAAAGACTTATTTCTTTATACACACTGTTGTTTCTTTAATAAAATTAACAAGCATCGATTGAATGATACTTGTTTATGAAAATAAAGAAAAGAAATCTCAAAAGACTTATTTGCCAAATTTTCTCATTTTTTTTTATTGTTCGACAATAAGAATCATTATTATAATAAAAATAAACTATTTATTCATTATTTAGAAAAATGACTTATTTATATACATCGATGAATAAAACAAAATTGAATACTATATATATATCTTATCAAAATACTACTTTATCATTAATGGGAAATAAACAAGAAAAAAAAAAGAGAAAAAATTTAAAACAAAAATTTCAAAAAACCCATGCATTTGCATAGTTGAAAATGCATAATATCTGATTTCATATTATATATATATATATATATATATATGGATGCATTAAAAAAAAAAAGACAAAAACAAAAATTTTAGAACAATATTCCAAAGGCCATGAAAAAAATAACAATAACGATTATTTGAATTTTGTTATTAGAAAAAACAAAATAAAAGTATGACGTTGTATAGAAAAAATAATAATAAAAATAAAAAAACATATTTGACTATTCATTATATCATGACTAAATAATAATTCTATTTTATAGAATTATAACGATATATATGTCGTAGGACAGATTGAAATTCAGTTCAGATTAAAATATTTTCATCTGAACTAGTTCAGTTTAAAATTTTCCTAGTTCACTTTAAAATAATTTTGATCTCAACTAGGAAGATTTTAAACTGAACTAGTCCAGATGAAAATATTTTAATCTGAACTGAATTTCAATCTGTCCTACGACATATATATATATATATATGTATATATTCAATTTACTATGACGAGGGGATTGAAAAGAAGAGAGAAAGAGAAAGAAAACAATCACACATATGCACAACGACCATGAAGAAAAAAAAAATTATTTTTGTGTCTGTTTTTTTCTTTTTGTAAACGAGCGAATACAAAAAATTTATTGAACAGCTTACCAGATTTAATGTCTTGTGTTCGTTTCGAGTTATCTTTTTTTTTGTTCACAAATAAGAAAAAAAGCAAAATAGTTTTCATCGTCGTCGATGATCACGACTATATTTTCCATCGTAATCTTCACTACTACGTCGATATTCATTTCGATCACGTGGACTACGTGTACGATGACGATGTTTCTTACGTGATTCACAAGGTGATCCAGAACGACTTCGATGACGTGCTCTAAAATATATTTGAGTTTTTTTTTTTTCTGTTACAAATTAAATATTTTCTTTTTTATTTACCTTTGTCCATAAGATTTATCTTCAATACCTTTAAGAGTATCTTGAAGTGAACTGATTAATATTTTACATCGATCATCATGAGCAATTTTTGATTGTTTTATAAGTGATACAGCTGTAACTAATGTTTCAATAGCTGTACCAAAATCACCTAATTATTTTAAAGAAAAAATAACAATACAAATTCTATAGGATTAAATTATCAAAACATAATGAAATTATTGGTGTCGTAAAAAAATTAAAATTTCAATTACTATATTTTATTATTAATAAATCATGTAAGTACATACCGGCAGATGCATCTTGAACAGCTCGAGCAATTGCACTACTCGATACAGTTTTATTACGTTCCATAATTTCTTAAAATTCGGTTTCACTTATAGGTACCATACTTGTTGGATTTTCAACACCACGATAATATGGATCAGGATGTGGTTGACCAGGCATTGTGAGACCATGTGGAGGAGGCTAAAATTCAAGATAAATATATATTGTTAACAAAATAGAAATGACATACTCCTTGATTTGGTACTGGTTGACCTTGATAATAATTAGAAGGATGTTGACCAGGCATAACAGTCATGGAATTGGAAGGTAAAGGTACACCTAAGATAAGAATATAACAATGATATATATATATATATATAAGTAAAAATAAATAATGTCTTCTATCTTAAAGTCACCTGGTGTTCCAGGTCGAATGGATTGTCTAATAAGAGGAGGTCCACTAGTACCTGGAGGTACACCAGATCGTTGTGATTGTTGCATGACAAGAACAGATTGTTGTTGAGGAACACCAACAGATTGAGGTGGACCAGGTACTCGTCCAAGAATCATAGGACCACCAGGTACAGGACCACGTTGACCAAGTGCTATTTGTAATGATGGACGAGCCATACCAGCTGGTCCACCAGGTAACATAACAGGTCCTTGATGTGAAAAACGGTATGGTCCATCCATATGACCACCACGAGGTATTGGTAATGGAAGACCTATTGGTGGATGCATCATAGGACGAACTAGAAAGAAAAAAAAAAGATTTATTGAATAAATAATTTCTAAACTACTTAATTAAAACACGAAAAAAAATGAATCTTACGAGGTGGTACACCCATTGGTGGCATTGTTTCCATAGGTGCATCTTTACGAGTAACACCTTCAAAGAAGCTTAATGAAGTTTTATTAAATGGTAAAACAGTTGGCATTTGTCCATGAATTTCACGTTTTGGTATTTTTTCTAATATAAGACGAGATGATGTTTCTGAACCAACAGTAACAACAGCAAATCTACCAAAAAAATAAAATACAAAAATATCAATAAAATTAAATTATAACAAATTTACCCTTTTGATTGACCATTAACACGATTTTCATGAAATTTAATTTCAAGTAAATCAATCACTCCTACATCAGGAATAGCATCTGCTAAATCAGCATCAGTTGTCCACTAGAAAATACAGATTTTCATTTTGTCTAGATATATTTATTTACATACCCAAGTTAGTTGACCAACATAAAGTGAAAATCGTTTTCCACCATAGGCATTCAATGATGAATTTACATTAATAGTTGGTCCATTTGGATGATCAATTTTTGGATTATTTTGATGAACTGGATGTGTTATATCAGCGAAATCAGTTACGGATGATTGTGTTGTTATTACATCATCATATAAATCAGCATCTTGTTGCATATGTTTAAGATGTTCATTTTGAAGTATATAATTATCATCGGCTTCCTAGAAAAAAAAACAAAAAACAAAGAAATTAAAGTTTATTTTGATTATAATATAAAAGAAGAAAAAAAAAGTATATTTTCATACTGTTTCAAGTTCATTTTCAACAACATCAGCATATAAATCTATTTCTGTATCGACACCTGTAACATTATTATTACCGGAAATTCCTACTTCTGTATCAGTCATTGATTTAAATATAATAGAAGTAAAAATCTGAAAAAAAAAATTCTTTTTTTTCTGTATAAATGAACAAATAGTAGGGAAAATATAAAACGCCGCTGCTGTAATTTGTTCGTTTTGTTTTCTTTCTCCTGTTACTATTAACATGAGTTGGACCTCTATGACATGTTTTTGTTGGATAGTCGAATTTTGATATGAAAATTTTCGAAATAGGTTTTTTTTAATCATATATAATTAAGAAAAAAAAATACATCAGTCTGAAATGGTTGATTGACAAAATTTGATAGATGTCACTCCAGATACATATCGAGTATTGTTTTCTTTTTTTCATGAAATAATAAGAATTTTCTTCTAGTTTTAAGCCACAATGAATATTATCCATCGATTCTTTTGTTTATATCGTATGAAATATGTAAGATATAATCAATGATTATCATGTTGATCGACTTGGACTTAATGATGAATTGTCAGGTGGAGACGAAATGAAAAATTCCCTAATCACTAATTCATTTATTGTAAGCGAGAAGCTGTTAATTTCTTTAGTTTTTTTATATCCTAAGATAGTAAAATTTTCATGCCTGTTTCAAAATGAGAAATAGCTGAAAATGATATTCTTGTTTTTTTGTTTTTTTATTGAAAAGTTTTCATGTAATCTCAAAACCAATATCGTGTCATGAAGACATTAATACCATCTGTTTTTATCAAAAAAAGAATAGATTGACTTTTTCATCATTAAAAGCCTAGATACATCATCTCATAAGATAAATATCGAAGCAACTGGCGCATAAGGTCTGCTTTATTTCTTTGTATATTATTAATCCAAAGGACAATAAAAGTCATGTCGTGTGAAACTAATTTATTATGTTTTCTTTTTTAATAATGTCTATCTTGTTTAATGGAACAATTAGTAAACTTGTTTTTATTGTTCGATTAATATATATGCATTATTCTGGGTGATTCCATGATGACCCTACCACGATTTACAAAACTATCTCCGAATTCGTTCAAACTTTCAGGGTTTGTAGAGATTTGAACGCTGATCATTTTGATAATAAAATAGTTGGCACTTCATAATGAAATGAGGGAGAACGAGTCAAAATACTGAACACGTCATTTTGATTCGAAAAAATTCACCTTTCGATGAATTTGGCCATTTCTCGTTTTCANAAAAAAATATTGATTGTTTTCTTTTCTATATTCATATCTTCTCTTAATAATTTCTTATTTATGTATCTAAATCTTCTCTATAATAAATTTTTTTTTGATAAACGTGTCTATGAGTAATTAGTAGGACGAAAAAATCTCATCAAATGATATAATCTATTCATTGATTAATTAGAATTTTTTTTTCGACGAAACGGGAATAGTCGTTTTTCCACTTTCGACGAAACGGGAATGAAAGAAAAATACATATTCGACGAAACAGGAAAACCAATTAACCTTTCGACGAAACGGGACCTAATCCTACGAATGCCTTGAAAAGAGGTCGTGTTAATACAACGGCAAAGTCCCATGTTCTTATTTTGGGAATAGGCGTAATTGAAAACTCTAAAACTTTCACAATAATCTATTTCCGTTAAGGTCTGCCTCTGTACAAATTCTCAAGTCAGATGTCTTGGTGTTCCTGAGGAGGCGCACAGCATTTATTTAAAAAATACATCGTAAAATTGCAGTATTTTCCTTGTAATAAGCGAAATGTACAATCTCTTTTCAAGATATTTATAGTTTATTAGAACCTACATGGTGCATATAGTTTCGACTTAAAAGCGATTTGACACTTAGAAAATGTTCCCTCGTTAGTGTGTTGTTCAACGTTCTTTATGGATGGTCCTTTTATTTTTAATGTTTTTAATCATCGACAAAAAAGAAGGGATTTTTAAAATTGTTAAGACTTCTAAAATAAATATTATTAAAATACGAATTTTTTTGTGAAATACAATTTTTATATTATGAGACAAGAGATTATTTTTTAGCGCATTTCTTTCAATTGTTATCCTGACTTTGAATTAGATTATACTATTCTATGTTGCGTTCTCATTTTGAGTTCGCTTATGTTCTTAACTTTATCTTCATATCTTTCGTATCATCAGGTTAGTTAAGATTGAATAACTTTTGTTTCCTATTATAATATTTTAGCATCATTTGGTGATTTCTGTTCGAATGATTTATCTTGTCATTATCCTTTAATTTGTTCGAATTCAAGTAAATGTATCTGTTCACATGGATGGATTGAATGGCAAAATAAGACATGTTTACTATTTATGCAACCACCAGAAGGTGGTATCATATATGAGAAAGCAAAAAATGCTTGTTTGACATATTCAGGACAAATACTACAAATTGATTATTATCAAGATTATATGGAATTTCAATATAAAATAAACGATTTATTAAAAGGTGAACATGCTAATGAACTAAATGATTTTTTGAGTAATGGTGTGTGGATTAATTTTACTGATTGTGAGTTAGAAAAATTAATTTTATACTCAAATAATTTTTAAACTGTAGATACTGATTGGATGAATTCATATGCATGGTGTAATATAGAATATGAAAATGATACATTGTCATGGAATGATTGTATTCGTATGACGAAACAATTTTCAAATGATAAAAGTAATACATCACTTTGTCTAAGTCATGTACAATGTAATGATAAATTATCATATATCTGCGAGAGTAAGGCATTCGTCGTGAATGCTTATCTAGAATTTAATTAATACATTTCTCATTATCATTAGTATTTTTACAGAATTAGCAAATATTCAAACTGATGTTAATGATGCTAACAGAATCTTTGGTTTACTAGGTGGTCTTGTTGGAAACCTCTTTGGTTGTAAGTCATAATATAAAGATATTATAGTTTAATAAATATATGAATTAATTTTTTTTTCATTTCATTTCAGCGAAGCCACAACCTCAACCACAACCACAACCACTGCCACCGGAGCCAATAATTATCTGTAAAAATATAATAAATAATTATTTTAGAAAAGAATTTTTTTTTATTTTAGATCATACAAATCCACCAAAGATAGAAATGGAACAACTATTGCCACGTATGTGTCATTATATCATTTCATTCTGTTTATTTTATTATTATTTTATAGAAACATCAAAATCAAGTAACACAATACTCTATGTTGGCAGTAAGTTTAATTTTTTTTGAAAAAAAAAAGTATGAAAATTATCTTCGTGGATTAGTCGCTGTTGGTGTTGTTGTCATTTTAATTATAATACTCTGTTGTTGTTTTTGTGGTGGTTTTCTTCTTTTGAAAAGTGATAATAGTTCAACAGCACCACCACGACCGTCACGTTTTCGTCGACGACGTGATAGAACTAGTGTCGATTCGACCGCTAGTGATGCTACATATTGATTAGAATTTCATGATAATATACGTATAAATTTGTTTTTCATTTTATTATATAATAAAACACAATATATCTCGTCATATATGACGAAATTCTAAATTAGCTTTGTTTTAATGTGAAGAAAGATCTTAATAACATTCAGTGGGCATCTTATTATTTAGCACTTTGTTTCAGTGATTTACATTATTAATTTTTATTGAAATTCAGAAAGTGTTTTCGAGAACTGTGCCTATTTTACTCTAGTCATTGATGTGGAGTAATATCATCTATTGCTCTTCACAGGCCAATAGTTCAATATATTCGTGTCAGATTTTAAGAGAAGTTTTCCGTACACTGGAACTTGTATTTTACAGAAGTAGTATATTGATGATCATTATGTTTCGCAGTTTCATTTAAAACTATTATCAAATAGTCTTGTATTTGCTAACTCAAAGAAAAAATATGTACTGTCCATTACGAGTTTCTTTGTACTTAAACAATCAAAGCGAGATACTGTTGTTAGCCTACATTCTTGTCGGAGTAGTATATGTACACAAATTTCCAGACCTAGAGTAAATATAATGGTTAAAATCCAGAGAGAGTGAAGACTTTTGTCCACTACTGTATCTATTCAATATTGTTAATTGAAACATTTTGAAATATAAAACAAAAAATTTGTTTATTTTGTTTGCAAGGATGGATTGAATAGCAAAAGTAGATATTTGTTTTATTTATAGCACAATCAAAAGATGATATCATATGTGAAGAAGTAAGAAATATTAGTTTGTTACATTCTAGATGCACAATCTCAATATACAATAAACAAAATTTGAGTATTGATATTTATACAAACACTTATAAATTATTTAGACATTTTATTGAAAAATAATTTTATTAAATTTTTCTCAAAAAATGTAAGAAGAAAAGTATTCGTTCATACTAAACATGCTAATTGTTAAACATTTATTTATATTAGAAAAGAGAGAGAGAGAGAGATCTGATGATTATTGTTTTTTTTTCTATTTTCGATAAAAAAAAGAAATTTTTTTTTGTTTAAATTAACCGCGCTTTGTCTCATGTATTTTACTATAAACACTTTAGTATTCTATGTTTCACTTTCTGCTTGGGTTCATCTATGTTCAGTACATATTATTCAAATCATCTAAGTCTTCTTCAGGTAATATATATATATAATTAATTCTAGTCGAATATATCTTCTTATCGAAATTAGTTTTATCATCATTTAATGAATCATGTTCTAATAATTTTTCTTGTACTAATCCATTGATATGTTCAAATACAAATAAATGTATATGTCCGAAATTATCATCATTTTGGAATAATGAACAAAATGATTGTCTTTCTTGTCTGTCGGGTTGGATTCAATGGAAAACTAATCGTTGTCTTTCATTTGCTGTACCATCTGAAGGTGGCCTTTCATATAATCAAGCAAATCATATTTGTCATACATTTTCTGCACAAATTTTTCATCTATACAATATAGATGAATTTAAACAATTTGAATTAAAAGTAAATACATTACTTCATAGTACATTTTCAAGTGCTGTAACAATATTTTTTCGTCTTGGTGCATGGATAAATAAATTAAATAGTAAATTTATTTATTAATATTTTTTAAACTAATATACAGAATGTTCGAAATGTCCGAACGAAACAAAAAACATGAATATCTCCTTCTTCATTCAAGGAATTTACATTAAAGTTTGCAAATAGAATATCTGTGTCTACAGAAGACACAATTAAAATAGTTCTATTCATAGTCAAATTTGGCAAAAACACACGCTGACTTTTTAGGTGTAGACACTTAATCTGAAAACTTTAGTGAATATGTGATCAAATCGTAAAAAAAAAAAGAAATATTTAAATCCCTGGAAATGTTGAAGAGCTCTATTCACTTCTTTTTTCGTTCGGACTCTTGGAACATCTTGTATATATAATTTTTTTTTAATAGGCAAAGAATTAGAAGATGTTTTGTGTGATGAAAATGAAAATAATTCTAATTTTGAATGTGTATTCATAAAAAGAAATAATTTAAAAAATGGTACATTATGTTTAAGTCGATTAGAATGTAATGAAAATATACTATTTATATGTGATAGTAAGTTTGGAAAAATATACGAGATCATTTCTGTCAAATTCAAATGTTTGTTTTTTTCCTATAAGTGGCAGCTATGCCGGCAAATTATACAATTGATAATGAAACTTCTGTATTTTCAAATCGAGCAATAGGAGCAGTTATTGGAGCTGTTGCACCATTTGCTGTTGATTTACTTGGTAATTTACTTAATGGAAATAGTATGTATTCGAATTGAACTTCTTTTTTCGTGTGAAATTCTTCAGTACATCTTTAAAGAACAACCATCACAAGAGCTACAACCAGTTCAACCATTATCTCCTCAACAAATTATCAGTAAGATTAATTAAATTATTAGAAGTATAATGAATATTGGTTTTGTTTTAAGTTCAGCAAGAATCTTTACCATCACCACAAGTTACTTCGCAAGGTAGATTTTTCAAAAAAAATTATTTTTTCGTTAATGTTTGTGAAAGAAATTAATATTTATAGAAAAGCCCTCATCGGATAATACATTGCTCTATGTTTTATTGGGTATTGGTGGTTTTGTACTTCTTCTGGTTATGTGTGGTATTATTATCGCAATACTTTTCTTTACAGGATGTATGAAAAATTTATCATCTACTCAACAAACTAACTATCGATCAAGTATTGAAAGTAGTTATAATTATTCATAATCGAATAATTAAGAAAGAAAAACGAAATATAAATAAATAGAATAGATATTTAATTAATTAATTTTTCTGTGAAACATAATAAATTTATGTTTGAAGATGGGATATTTCTACAACTTAAGGTTAATTTTCATTTTCATTGTAGATCTTACAAACTTGTATAATTATAAACTTCTTTTTTTCTATGATCTATTAGAAGTATGGGATACTGTCTAGCGGTAGATATAGTAGCCCAATATGTTCCTTATAACTAATACTAGCTGTAGCTCTGGACGTAAAACCAATCTAGCATAGACGTCTTGCGTTTAATTGCTTGAACTTCTCATACACGCTAGCTAACCACAAGAGCAGATGTATTTCACAACGTTGTCAACATGTTATCGGATGGGTGATCCAAAACAAATAGCCGTTTGTAATCTTGTTGATACATGTTGAACAACATATTCACATCAAAGTCCTCCAACTACTCATTCTATTTTGAATTATGACTATGAAAATTATGTAGATTCAAATAAGCGACAAATATCCTGAAAAGAGTTCGTGTCCTCAGCTTATTGCTATGGAGATTCTGCACTTTTACGATACTTTTAAAATAAATACCAAGATCATCCTCCGCAGGAACAAATGACAAATTTATTTTAGGATAGAAGCAAATCAAAAGATGTCAAACTGTCATAAAAAAACGATTGTCGTTAAGAGCTGTCTCTATGAAAAGTTTCAAGTCAAAGTTCAAAAAACAGTTTTTCTGATGTTCGTGAATAAGATTACGGCATTTGCTTAAAAAAAAAACGTAAAAGTGCATCATCTTCGTAGCAATAAGCTAAGGACTCGAGCTCTTTTCAAAGTATTCATAAGCTATGGCAACTTAGTCTGAAGAAATATGATAAAACTATTCTTGAGAACATTCTCAGAGTTTTTCTTTAATTTAATTTAATTCAATAACAAAAAATTAAGATCCTGCTCAAAGTCAAATCGATTGACTCGTATTATGTATAAAGCGCGTAAATTTCTTCTAAATATTTCGCATTTCTAAAAAAAATATGAGGTTAGTCTCAATTTCAGTTCTATTATGATTTTGCATATCTGTTTCGTTTCGTTGGCTCATTTATTTGAAATTCAACTCTTCTCTTCACATATTAATTCTCCAATGAGTCATCAACATTCATACCTCTCATGGACAGATAATACACATAATCGACTTAATATTGAACCGAATACAAGTGGCATATATATAGATAAATGTTATAGACAATTAGAGTATCTTATAGCTACATGTTCATTAACAAAAAGATATTATAATCAACTATATGAATGTCATCCTGAACAACAATCTTATTTACAGAAAAGATTAAAACGAGATATTGATGATAAATCTAAACGATCACCACATGTATTACTATCATTAATTATTGGAGTATCATGTTTTTTAGTTGGTTTTATAATTGGTACTGTTCTTAGTATTTTTATTTCAATAAAGAGACAACAACGACAAGAACAACAAAACCAACGACATAATGGAAATAATCAATTTGATTCTGATATTAAATCTTTAAGTATCAACAATGAAATTTTGAAGAGATTGTATGTTTTCTATAAAAGTTTTATTTTATTAACAAATTTTCATAGCGAGAATAGCTTTTGTCATATGTTTGCAGCAAACAACTTTTCTTTGGGAAATTCCATAATTCGAAAAAGAAACATTCTTGTTAGCTAAAACTTTCAGAATATTCTAAATATTATAAGACTAATTTATGAACAAAATTTCATGTCGCACCAATCAGTCGGCTTCAATAGCCTATAGGGACAAATTTTTTTTTCTAGTTCTACAGAGACCTCTTTTTGGATCCAATATGAGCGCAAACAATGAGTTATAGTTTCCTCGTGAGCAGAACTAGACATACAAATTTCTGTTCGATACTGTTCATTTGTGTATTAATTTTCACCATAGATTATCTCTTTTTTTTTTTTTTAAATATATATTTCGAATAAAATTAAATACTGTTTAATAAAACCATCTAACAAGTTCATAAAAGTGCATGATTTTTGTAGCATTTATATTTATCTCTGAACAGAAATCAAAACAAAGGACTTACAAAATCTCCTACATTTAACTCAACTTCTGATCATACTTTCATACAACGAGAACGAGGTATAATGTTTATACATTAATTGCTCAATACAAAAAAAGCAAACGATGACCCTTTCTTCATTAGAAATATCTGATAACACATCTATGACATTAAATCGATATCAAATATTACAAGATCAATCATTAAAACAAGAACGAAGTATATGAATGAGTTAATTCATTGATTTTTCAATTTATACTTTTTTTCAAAAAGAAGTAGCGATTCAACGGCCACTTCTTTCAAATTTCGCATACATCAAATCGACAATACCACATAATAGTAATCTTTCAAAAAGCAAAATTTCATCAAAACATCAATACAAAATATCGAAAAATGCCAATAATAATATAGAAAATAATTCTATGCATAATAAACGTTCAAAATCTTGTTAAATGTGAATTGAATACGAAATATACTTAATCTCTTCTATATATTCAAACATTATGAAAAATCTAATAATTTCGAAACAATGTTATATTTATTTAATGATCTAGATGTTTTTTCTTTAGTAAGAATATTTAATTTAAAATTCAAATTAAAATAATTCGATATTAAATAAAAAAACAAGTTTCCGTTGTTATTATTTGTTTCAATTGAAAATTACATACACAATTTTACAGAGACAACAAGTTTTCATAAAATTATTCTTAAATATCTGAAGTGATTAATAAGTAAGAAATTTAGTAAAATGATCTACGTCATTCGTGTTATGGATCATGTTCGATGTAATAGTACTTTCTTCCCTAATATTAAAATGTTTCTTTTCTAAATATATAGTATCAAGGATGAACATCGTCTGAATCAACTAGCAATGATGTATATGCGTTCCATGATTTACATTCAGGAAAAAAATAGAAATCTTGAATTTCATGTATGATTTGATTCTTACTTATTTTTATTCTCATAGAACCGTCACTGTTTCTGCGAAATTAAAATGTCAAACAGAATGTAACTGCTGTTGTTAATCACAGGAAGATTATTTTATTCTATCTATTTTCGGACATATTTCTTCACTATTCAGAAATGCAATAGGCAGTTCATATATGACGATGAAATCTTATTAATGTACAGTCTTTAAAGTTTCTATGGTTCTGTCTGTCACATCTGTGGGAAGTCGAGATTCCTACCTGCATACTGCAACACTCCTTTTAGATTATCTTTCACAAAAACCAAAGAGAAAGAAATTATATTGAGGCATATCTGAACGCAGACGATAAGAATTTACATTGAACAGCATATTCCATGCGATTCAAACTGGACAAAAAGCTGCCGACATACCGATAATCAATCGGTGGTAGTGCGAATTAATGTGCAATATGAAATTGTTTCAAAGTTAATCAATATGTTTACATTATTTGATATGTTAGTTCCATCTTGTTATTAACAAATATGTTTATAATCAAAAGCAATATTATGACATTTGCTATCTTATACGACCTTGACTGAAAATAGAAGATTATTATTACTAAGTGCTCGACATATCAACATATATTTATAAGTAGAACATAATAACTTGCAAACGAACCAAAAAAAATAAACATGTCAACCATTGATTTTTCCAAATGTTATGAAAAATTCCAATGCTATTTTTTGTGTTGATAATAACGTTCTTGATTCCTTTGTCAATAATATAAAAATTTTGAAGCACATATTTTTTTCTTCTGTTCTTTCATATTCATACACAAACACCAATGTAGAAAACATGAAACAACATCAATGAACAGTACAATAAAGTAATATAGAGTTATAGGAATAAACAAGAAAAAAAAACGAAGGAAAGAAAAGAAAGAAACTTTGTACAATAATAAAGCCAAGAACAATAAAAGAAAAAAAAGAAGAGAAACACGGGTGATCATCGTTCACTCGAGTCGTTGACCTATAAAATAAAAATAATTCAATATACACAAGCAATTCTTCTTCTTTGTTTTTTGAAACAAAAAAAAGTTTTACACATGAAGACTAACACTAGAGAAAAGAAAATATTCTTATTTACAATGAAAATCAATCCATCGTATTCACCATTGAATCCTTCGAGGATTCTATTCAAAGACTTATACTTCTTTTCACACTTACTGTTTTTATAATATCAACAAGCATCCATGGAATGATACTCGTTTATGAAGAAAGAAAAAGAAAAGAAACCTTAAGGGACTTATTTGCCAAATTGTCTCATTTTTATTGTTCGACAATAATAATCATTATTTTTTATAAAAAAGAACTATTTATTCATTATTTAGAAAAATTACTTAATTATATACATTGACGAATAAAACAAAATTGAATACTATATATATCTTATCAAAATACTATTATATCATTAATGGGAAACAAAAAATAAAAAAAATAAAAATAAAACAAAATAAAATAAAATTTTAAAAAATCCATGCATTTGCATAGTAGAGAATGAGAAATATCTCAATTGATATATGTATATACATATATTATATGCATTAAAACAAAAAAGACAATAACAAAAATTTAGAACAATATTCCAAAGGCCATGAAAAAAATAACAATAACGATAATTTGAATTTTGTCATTAGAAAAAACAAATAAAAGTGTGACGTTGTATAGAAAAAATAAAATAAAATAAATAAAAAAAAAAAAACATATTTGATTATTCATTATACCATGACTAGAGGATAAATAATTCTATTTAATAAAAGTGTAACGATAAATATATATATATGTATATGTGCATATATCCATCTTACTAAGTAGACATCATATTATGAGGGGATTGAAAAAATAAAAATAAAACAATCACACATACACACAACGATTATGAAAAAAAAAAAATTCTTTTTCTTTTCAAACGAGCGAATACAAAAAATTTATTGAACAGCTTACCAGATTGTATGTCTTGTGTTCGTTTCAATTTTTTTTTTCTTCACAAATATGAAAAAAAGCAAAATAGTTTTCATCGTCGTCGATGATCACGACTATATTTTCCATCGTAGTCTTCACTACTACGTCGATATTCATTTCGATCACGAGGACTACGTGTACGATGACGATGTTTCTTACGTGATTCACGAGGTGATCCAGAACGACTTCGATGACGTGCTCTAAATATGAATAAATATTTTTTTGTAAATTAAAAATAGAAAAACAAAACAATTTTTATTTACCTTTGTCCATAAGATTTATCTTCGATACCTTTAAGAGTATCTTGAAGTGAACTAATTAAAATTTTACATCGATCATCATGAGCAATTTTTGATTGTTTTATAAGTGACACAGCTGTAACTAATGTTTCAATAGCAGTACCAAATTCACCTAATTAATTCAGAAATAAATAAAGAACTATTAGCACAATTCCTGTAGAATTAAAATTTGAAACATATTGAAGCTGTTGGTATTGTAAAAGAGATGTTTAATCAATAAGGTTTATTTTTCCAAGCGTTTTCCGCTGTCTCATAAGCGTTAGAAAGTATCAAAATAATCATTCAAATAGAAATAATGGTTTTCAACAAGAATATAAGGAAATAAAAGTTCTTATCAGATTCACAAAATACGAACAACAGAAAAACCAAAATTCTAGCTTTTCAACACCTAGACTACATAAATATGTTGTTGTTTACACGTCATAGAACGATAAAGCAGACCGTTTTCTATAAAATGAGACGTTTTCGACTTCTCTGCAATATTTTGCAGCTGAAATACAATAATTTTACAAAGTTCTAAAAGTCGTTTTTTTTCAATAAACATCTCGCTTTGTATCAAATTGTTTGTTCTATCATTCTATATATAGAATTTGCTTTCGCAGTTATGTCTACCATGGTCTGTACAGGAGTCGAAATTTCTATCCAGTATACTTCAATATTTCTTTTAGTTTGTGTTTCACAATAAATATAAATACATACCGGCAGATGCATCTTGAACAGCCCGAGCAATTGCACTACTTGATACAGTTTTATTACGTTCCATAATTTCTTGAAATTCTGCTTCGCTTATAGGTACCATATTTGCTGGATTCTCAACACCACGATAATATGGATCAGGATGTGGTTGACCAGGCATAGAGAGACCATGTGGAGGAGCCTAAAATTTGACATCATTATTTACATATTGTTAAAGTATCGAAATGACATACTCCTTGGCCTTGTTGACCTGGATAATAACCAGACGGATGTTGACCAGGCATGACAGTCATTGAATTTGAAGATACAGGTACGCCTAAGAAAAAAAAATCAAACAATCATATATATAGAAAAAAAAATAAATGATATCTTTTGTCTTAAATTCACCTGGTGTTCCAGGTCGAATAGGTTGTCTAATAAGAGGAGGTCCACTAGTACCTGGAGGTCCACCAGGTCGTTGTGTTTGTTGCATGACAATAACAGATTGTTGTGGAGGAATACCCATCGATGGAGGTGGACCAGCCACTCGACCAAGAATCATGGGACCACCAGGTACAGGACCACGTTGACCAAGAGTTATTTGTAATGATGGACGATTCATACCAGCTGGTCCACCCTGTAACATAACAGGTCCCTGATGTGAAAAACGGTATGGTCCATCCATAGGACCACCACGAGGTATCGGTAATGGAAGACCTATTGGTGGATGCATCATAGGACGAACTGAAAAAAAAATTCAAGATTGTCGAATAAATGATTTTTAAGTTAATTAATCAAAAGAAAACAAGAATCTTACGAGGGGGAACACCCATTGGTGGCATTGCTTCCATAGGTGCGTCTTTACGACTAGTACCTTCAAAAAAGCTCAATGAACTTTTATTAAAAGGTAAAACAGTTGGTATTTGTCCATGAATTTCACGTTTTGATATTTTTTCTAATATACTTCTAGATGATGTTTCAGAACCAACAGTAACAACAGCAAAACTACAAATATGACAATGACAATAGAATTAAATTATAACAAATAAAAATGAAAAAAACAAAAGCAAACTTACCCTTTTGATTGACCATTAACACGATTTTCATGAAATTTAACTTCAAGTAAATCATTTATTCCGACATCATGAATTGCATCTGCTAAATCAGCATCAGTCGTCCACTAAAAAGAAAAGAAAAGAAAGTTTTTCTTTTTCTAAGTACTTATGTTTATTATATACCCAAGTTAGCTGACCAACATAAAGTGAAACGCGTTTTCCGCCATATGCATTCGATAATGAAATTCCACTAGTAAGAAATCCATGTGATTGATCAATTTTAGGATTATTTTGATTAACAGTATTTGTTATATCAGTAAAATCAGTTCCTGCTGATTGTGTTGTTATTACATCATCGTATAAATCAGCATCTTGTTGCATATGTTTAAGATGTTCATTTTGAATTCCATAATTATCATCTGTTTCCTAGAAGATAACAAAAATTCGTCTTTGTTCTTAATCAAACAAAATATTTTTTCATACTGTATCAAGTTCATTTTCAACAACATCAGCATATAGATCAATTTCAGTATCAACACCTGTAACACCACTAGTACCAGAAATTGCTACTTCTGTATCAGTCATTGATTTGTAATATAATAGAAGTAAAAATCTGGAAAAGAGATAGAATTCTTGTTTTTATGATTGAACGAGTAATAGGGAAAATACCGATGCAGCTGTCGTCATTTGTTCGTTATGTTTTCTTTCTCTATTTGTTACTATTTAACATGAGTAGGACCTCTATATTATTCTTTTAAATAATCGAAATTTGAGATGAAATTATTCGAAATAGTTCTTTTTAATAATAGATAATTTAGAAGAATACATTTGTCTGAAATGGTTCATTGACAAAATTCAATAGATGTCACTCTATATCATTGTACTTGTTTCATTGTTATCTATGTTTTTTTGAATGAACAATAAAAAATAATGAATAAAATCGTTGTTACATATCAGTTCTGAGTGATAGTAAAAGGGGCGGCTAAAAAAAATAAATTGAATTAATATGAAACTTTTTTTTTATTCATTTCTCTTATCGCGATTCTTTATTTTATTATGTATTGTTTACCTACGATATAATCAATTATTATCATGTTGATCCAGTTCGATTTTATCAAGAATCACCAAAAATAGACGAAATGATAAATGTTCGACTCGCTTATCGCACACGAGGAACTCCTGTTTCTTTTTTTGATAAACTATGATAGTATGTTATTCACGTACTTTCGCACGTCATTAATCATAACCTACGTGTCTCTACATATTCAAGTCTGTTTCTAAGTGAAAATCAGGTGGATTTTATATTTTCGGAATTTTTAAAATTACCATTGTATCCCACATCTTGATGTTTGGATTTCCTAGAACAATTTGTTTTTGAGCTATCTATGAACCAATATCGTATCATGAACAAGCATTAATACCATCTGCTATTATTAATAAAACATTGACTTTAGTATCAGTAAAAGTGTAGACATATTGTCTCATGAAATATATATCAAAGCAACTGCCAGACGAGACCTCTTTTGTTTCTTCTTGTATTATTGATCAAAAGAACAACAAGAATCATGTCGCGTGGAATTAATTTACTATATTTGCTTTTGTTGATAACGCCTAACTTGTTCCGATTCATATATATATACATATTACTCCTATAATGTATCAAAAGCTGATAGTCCATTATTTATCATTATATTTTCTGTTTTTAATAATTTTAATATGAATATTGAATAGTTATTGACAATGAAAGAATAAAATGTATTGAACATCTTCCTTCAACGAAAATTAAGATTTATCAAATTGACCCTTAGGCTAGACAACATGCAATCAAATAACTTTAAGTTTAGTCTTTTCAATTCTATGATATCTAAGACGATCATGAGACATTTTGAAAATTGTAGGAAATAACCCATTAGAATCTAATTCGTTTTGTATGCACTGAAATTTTAGATTTCAACAATCGATTTATTGAACTTATCGAAACTCACTATGAAAAAATATCATTAAGAATTGCTGTATTGTACATTATGACTAGCATATCAATGCGCAAAAAGAAAGCTTAAATAAATATATGTAACTTTCAAGTTATGAAAAAATAGTAGCTGATGCTTGCATTTTTTAGACATTCTATAATAGAAATACATTATGATACGAGAATAGCATTGATCATTCTATGTTTAAAGTTGATTTACTGATTCGTCGTCTGAATCATGTAATATAATTGATTAGCAATGACTTATAATCATCGTTGCATTATCAATATAAATGATGAATAGCTGTAATATTGAACAATTTTATTATTAGCCAAATCAGTCACTTCTAATTATACTTTAGAAACATTATCATTGTGGGATAAAAAGCACGTTCATTGACAATATGAAATGCATCACTAGTAGATGTTTGTTTAAGCATTTGAGAACGGCCTAATCTAAAGCAGATAGATGTGATTAATATGATAACGTATTCAGCTTTGACATTTACAAAATGGTAATAGTTTAGTATTTATCTTATTATTTCTCAATAAGTTTGTAGATAAAGAAAAAAGTTTAATATTCTATCTTGTTAATTTTTAATTTTAGTCATTCAAGATTTTATCGTTATTCCAAATAGTCTGTGAAGTATACAATATAGATATATATTCATTGTTTGATTTTCTCAATGGCTCTCCATACTTTTTTCGGAGTGAAAGAAGTTTAAAATTTTAACGGACAGACGGAGATAATCGGGCCAGTAGAAAATGATTAACAGAAGTTGCCTTCTTAAATTTGATCGAGACTTGTCAGACAATAGCTGAAACTTCCGCAAACACGACGTAACCAAAAAAAGGAGAGACTAACCCGTCTCAGTCCCTCCGACATCGAGACCCATGATAATTAATTCAATGTTTTTATGGACTTTTCAAGTGAAGAATATATTTATAAGCTTCATTCTATGTTTTCAAGTCCATAGATGGTCACTGAATTTCGTTAATAGGACATTCGCCAGCTGTTACGATACAATACTAATATAGGATATATGTGAGAGTTGAAGCTGATATTGTTAGAAAATATATACATACACATAATAGGTTACGCTTGAGATGCATTTGAATATGAGTGATTAATATAGTTGACAGGATATTTTTTTTTAATCCATATCGAACTCACCGTCAAATTGACGAAAATCTTATTGGCAAAATTTCAGAACCACAATTTCATTCCCTTACAGACAGACACATATGAAAAACAGTTTCTACATTTGTTATATAAACTATTTTTTTGTGCAAATATTTAAAAACTTTTTTTTTCACTTTTTTTTGTTGTTTATTGCAAAAGTAAACCAATCTCACAGTTTTGTTTTTACATTTAACAAACATATCATTTCTACGGAGAAAGGTTAATCAACAGAAAAACACTTGACAACACACAAAAAAAAGAAAAAACGTTTTTCTTCTCACGGGTCTCTGTACAAAAAAACAAAAGAACTCTACGAGTTCAAAATATATATATATGTATATTTTTTTTTTTACAAACAATATGAATTTTATTGTTGATGTTGTTGTTGTTGTTCAGCTTTTATTTGTGCATGAAGCATAAGAGCAATTTGCCATTGTTTAAGTTTAATCATGTCGTTTCCATTTGGTATAACATCAATTTTAACATGTTCAAACCATGAACGATATTTAAATACAACAGATGGATATTTTAATAATATTGATTCATAGAACCATTCAGGTGAAATATTATTCATTCGATAATTATGATTTTCATAAACTAAAAATTATATTAATAATTTTTTTTTTTTTTTTTTTTTTGAAAGTTCTTACCAATTTCAATTGATTTATTAACTGCATATGCTTGAGCTTCATCAAAAGTCAAAGTTTTCTCTTTCGGATGATGAAGAAGACCTTCAACAATTTGTTTTTGCTCATAATTTGATAATGGAGGATTGTTTGCTTGAACAAGATGAACAACTGGTGATGATGTCTGTTGATCAGAACGATGTGATGATGCTGGATCATCATATTCAATTTCATTGCCATTTGTTATTGCTGATCGACGACTTTTACGTATTGGTTTTTTCGTAACAATTTGATCTTTATTTGGAGATAAAGTTCTTGTTCGAGTTTTCATTGGCTCATTATCATTTGTTATTAAGTTCTAAAGAATTTTTTTTTTTTTTAAATAGAAATAGTTCATTAATTATGTCAAAAACAAAAAAAAATAGGAAACGGATAATTTATCATGCGATAGTGGCTTTATAAGTTTGAAATATCATTTAGAACAGTAAGATTAATGACAAAGTGAAAGGAAATTTAAATAACAAAAGATTGTTACTTTCTTTTTCGTACTATAAGACATGATTCTATTGAATAAACATTCACTCCTAATATTTCAATTAGAAGTTGAAATCGATATCGAAATGTACAGAAAAAAAAGAACTATTCTATCTCCGAGAAAAATATCCTATCAATGACGGAAAACCTATAATCGTTTAGGGCATACTAAAAGTAGTGCTAAAGGCATTTTTATTCATAAAAAGTTTCAAAAAACTTTCTATTTTTCGATAGAAGCTATTTGTTATGATATAACATAGTAATATTAGATTACATTTAGTCTTCGATGTGTATCCTCTTTTTTCTTCTCTTCTCCGATAACATCTATCCGTTTAGACATATTACTATATAGAAAAAGTGCTGATGGTAGAACAAAAAAGAAATACAAAAACAAGTTCATCACGTCTTTATTGGATTAAATGTTCGAAATAATCATCCTGATTATTCACACTCAAATTGCATTCGTTGCATCTATTTATCGAACGGTTGTTTTGTTTATATTCTTCTTTATTCAAAGAATTTACAAGCTTGTTTACAACATGATACAACGATTTCGAATTGTTTTAATCGCTTAGACTCTATTTGAATAACTAAAAATCGTATGGTATCACATTCAGAGAATAACTTATGTAAAAACTTGATGAACATGCTTCAATACTTCGTTTTTTATTCTATGTCCAGCACAGGGCTCCGAATGGGCCGAGAGTGCTTTTAAGTTTGCTGGGAAAGAATATTGGGTGGAACAGTTTTTCGACGTGATTCGATGAGAGGATTGCTGTGTCTATTTGGTGAAACTATTTTTTTGACCGTAAGTACTTTTTTCTAATTGTCACAGCTGTTTTTTGCGCTGGTCATCTGACAAAGCTCGAAGTTTCGGAAAAAAGAGCTGTCATAATTAGAAAAAAGTACTTACGGTGAAAAAAATAGTTTCACCCAATAGACACAGCAATCCTCTCATAGAATCACGTAGAAAAATTGTTCCACCCAATATTCTTTCCCAGCAAACTTGAAAACACTCTCGGCCCATTCGGAGCCCTGGTCCAGCACTTTTTGTAAACCCTAATGTATGTAGGCGACTAGGCAACAATGTGAAAACAATGAACATGAGCTTTTTCGAGATTTAAATAGTAACTTATATACGTTGACTAGTGAACAGTTTTTGATAAAAAAGTTATCCTAACTGCTAAATTCATTAGAAAAACTTGGCTACGAAAAATAAAAAGAGTCGGAGAATAAATCCATATAATCTGAAACTAGGACTTAAGTTTTATTG